CGGCTCAGTTGGTTGAGCATCTGACTTCGGCTCAGGTCATGATCTGACGGCTTGTGAGTTTGAGCCCCATTATCGGGCTCTGTGCTGACAGCTCAGAGCCTGGAGTCTGCTTTGGATTCTGTGTCCCTCTCTCTCTCTGCCCCTCCCTCGCTCATGCTCTCTCTCTCTCAAGAATAAAACATTAAAAAAAAATTAAAAAAAAATAGTTTTCCAGTAAGTGAAATTGAGTCAGAGAAAGACAAATACCATTATTTCACTCATATGTGAAATTTAAGGAATAAAACAAGCAAAGGGGGTAAAAAAAAGAGACAAATCAAGAAACAGACTTATAGGGAACAAGTGAAGATTACCAATGGTGGGTGGGAGGATGGGTTAAATAAATGATGGAAATTAAGTACTGCACTTGTGATCATCACTGGGTGATATATGGAGTTGTTCAATCACATACATATACAATATAGTGCATACCTGAAACTAATATAACACTGTATGTTAACTGGAATTAAAAAAAAACAAAAAAAAAAAAAAAAAAAAAAAAGCTTTCCACTGAAAACTCAGTGGTGCTTCAATTACCCTTCAAAACTACACTGGTTGAATAAGGAAAAATTAAGCCCATGAGCATCCAGTTAGTTAGGCTTCTTATTTACCATTTTCCTAGTAAAAAAAATCTTAGAAATTCTGTGGCTTTTTTTTTTATAAAGCTTCAGGACAATGCTTATGGTGACAACTTGATAACTTTAATGATTTCCCAACCTTTCATTAACCTAGACACACAGAACTTTATTGTTATTTTTTGGTGAAAACAAGAAATACAGCAGAGTGACAGACTTTTATTTTTCCTTTGAGCACACGGAAGAAGACTAATAAAGTACTTAACGATCCTTGTTTACTTTGACAGAGCAATTCTACAAATACTTACACTGGTTAGGAACATAAAATTCAAGTACAACATTACTATTAGGGCAAGAAATATCAAGACAAAAGAATTGGTTTTCTTTTTGAAATTACTTCCACAAGACACAGCAACAATTTGCAAAATTTCAAGGATCACATTCAAATTATCTTTCTAAGAATAGAGCTATATATGAAGACAGACCAGAACAAGCTGATATATTAACGAATATTCACAGGTTTCATACTGCACAGGAAACAAGTTTGATATTTTTGCACATATTCTCAATTGTAAGCAAAAAGCAGGCCTGTAAATGTCAATTTCGCCAGCAAGCAAAAATAGAGAAAGGAATTAATAGGATTTTACTCAAACACAGTGAAATAATGAGCATATGCCATTAATCTTCTATACAGAAAAGAGCACTCCTATAATAACAGGGAGAAAACAACCAGACTTGCATTTTTGCATTTTAGACAAAAACCTACTGGTGAATTTAAGGGAGTTAGGGAAAACTCCTCTAAGTATCCTTTTTAAACATCAACCACTTTGATTCTCCCACCTCCCCTAGGAAAAGCTTCAGGGGCCTCCCCCTCCATTCCCAAAGCTGCAGGGTTCATCCTTCCTGTGCCGTTCCAAGACTACTTGGTTCATTTTGGTTTCTGGGCTCTCACTTCCCTCAGCCTAGAGCATCCTCCTCACTGCTGTACCCAGACCTCCCAAGCACTCATGGAACTTAGGGCAAGGCCTTCAAACAGGAGAAAGCAGGTAGTCCTTACCATTACCATATACCACCCAAGTAACACAGCCCTGATACACTGCTGTCCCACCTAATGGAACCTGTCCTGGAAATCCAAACAAACTCCACACATCCCCAGGAAGGAAGTTTGACATCTCCCACAATGTACACTGCAGCCTGCTCCCTCATCTGTTGGGAGAGAAGCAGGGAAGGAAACAGGGAAACTGAAGCCTGAAAGCCAAGAAGGCCAGACAACAGGATGGAGGCCCCTGGGCCATGAGAGCAGTAATAAAATAGTACAGAGAATAGAGGTGACCTCAAAATGCTGCCTTGGGGTTCTTTCTAAGTGGTCAAGGCCACCCCCGCCAAAATTTCCATGTTTAGAAAAGTGGAGTGAAACTAAGTTTGGCCGCTTTACATCACAACCTTCTCTGCATCTGCCTTGAATCCATCACTGTGAGGCCCTTCTGTCTTTCCTCCCTGCTTCTCTAACTAAACTCAAGAAACACACGGATTTTGGTAAGTGGACAGGGAAAAGGCGGGGTTGTCAAAATTGGCCCAAAAGAACACTGCTCATAACTAAATAACCTACAGGTCTCCCTTTGAAACTTTTAGACCTTACTAAAGGAAGTAGGGTGGAGGCTTGAGGGCAGAAGAGCACAAGAAGACATGTGGAGTCTATTGTACAGTACCTTTCTCTCTTTGGACACCATCAAGGGTAGAGAAAATTAAACACAAAGCCCGCTTTGCCAGTTTGGTTTCCTGTCTGCTTCAGAGGAGAGGGAAGTGGGGGAGAGAACAAGGGGGTGGGGGTGGAGGAGAGAGACAACAAGATGCAGAACAGGCCACACAGACCAGGAACACCTTTCCCTCGGTGCCCCACCCTGGCAACTTGATCATGCTCAGAATGAGTGCAGGAGTTAGAGAAGGGGATACCTAACAAAACTATCTGATTAAGGGTGGTTTGTTGACTCCAGCTCAGAAAGGCTAACTGCTGGAAGTGAACCCCATCCAGCCTTGCTTTGGGCACTATCACATATGACTGTGCAACCTGCCCCACAGCCAACTGGGTTTATAGGTAACCATTTGATGGCACAAGGGGATTGAGGCGGAGTTCCCTGTGTGCTGCCTGGGAGCTTAAGTCCACAGTCAGTTGCTGAGGAGGCAGGCAATGGTGCCTATGCAAAGCTCATCCAGAAGGGTGACAGCAGGTTTGTGTGGGCCATAGCACCGACCCTCATACTCACCAGTACCTGGTCACAAAACAGAGTGAAAAGAAGATGCAATAACACTGAAAACCTCTCATCTGTTACCTCACTCATGCCTTGTAGCCACCCACTAGCCCCCTTATTTTGCCAGATAACCAGCAGGGTGGATAGCACAGGCCCAGGGAGGCAGCTGGGAACCAGTTAGTGGTAGCTAGAAATGTCCAGTTTGCGTTGATGGTTGGCATCATCTAGAGTAGTTTCATCTTGCAGCGGTGAAACTCAAAGAACTTGCCATAGAATACATGGTTATCAGGAGGACAGTCAGCATAAAGTATGAAGTCCAGCTAGTTATTTGCAAAGGTATTGCAAGCTTCTTTGTGGTAGAGAACCGCTTAAAAAACTAGAACTAGACCATGGTCATAGACAGGACCCAAGGCATGCAAAGGAAGGCAGTGCCTATCTACAGCATCATGTGCTTGGCATAGAAGCAGTGCAACGCCATGCACTTGAACATGTAACAGGATACAGAAGAGCATGAAGGTCCAGAGGAAGAGGAACACAAACATGTAAGAGTCAATCTCGCAAATGACTGTTGAAGATTTAGGAGAACCAAAGGACAAAATAGTTCAGTGTGAAGAGAAAGCAGATAGAAGACTGCATGCTGTTGGCTAAGCAACGGTTCAAGGGGAGGTGGTGGGAGACTTGTGCAGGAGCTTCTCACAAGGGCAGCGCTTAGCCAGACTGGAACCTGAAGGACCTGGGGCTCTCCACGGGCTGCCTTGCTGGGTCTCGAATTCCTCGGCGAGGCCCTTCGCCCATCAGGTAGTACTGTAGGGGATTGGGCCACAGTTCTGCTTTGATAATCTCAGCAATCCTGTCGAATTCTAGAAGGCTGTGATCTGAGAACCAGTTGAAGAAACTGGGGATAGTGTTTCCTTCCCGATTCCTGTGGATATGTGACTGGGGGTCTTGGCCCCTGTGCCAGCGGATTGGAGTGGAAAGAGACACCACCCGGCCAGAGGATCTGCGCTCATATTCTTTGACGAGCCCCTCATTTCGGAAATAGGGGTTGCTCTGAAAGATGAACTTGAATTTGCAGCCTGCTCTGGGGTGTTTAAGCTCCTCCACCTCCAAATTGATCATGTACCTCATCATGTCTTCATCTTGGCCACTGATCATAGGTGACAGCTGGGGGTGGTTCCGAAAGGCAGTGACCCAGAAACCTGGGATATTTTGGATAATGAAACTTCTGCGCTGCATATGGAGCCTTCGCATCCGGCCAAACTTGCGCTCCAGCTGAAGGAAGGCCCTGTCAGCCTGGGCATTTACATTTGACAGCTCCTGATCGATGGCCTCCAGGGAATCCATGCAGTTATTGATCTTCGGGGCCTTGGCCCGTGACTCCTCTTTCCCTCCTCCTACCACCTTCTTTTCCTTCTGCATCACCTTCTTTTCCTCCACCACCTCCTCCGCTACTCCCTCCTTTTCCGTTGCCGCTGAAACGGCGCACTTTTTTGTCGTCATTTCCTTGGCCTTCGCCCCAGGCATCATCTGAGACCCCAACCCCCCTGCGCCACAGGCTTCTAGAGCTTTCTCCCCAGCAGGGCCCCGCGGCTCTCTACGCTGACAGCCATTTTCCTGGCTATTGTCGGTTGCTACCGCGGGGGAGGCTGAAGCAGAGGCTGCTGCCAAGCCTTCCGTCGGAGGCAGACCCTCTTTCTGGCCCGATTTGGTCGCTACACGGCTGCGGCTCCCAAAAACTCGAACGCGGAACACAGGGGCACAGCTCGCGGGGCTCTCGGGGGCGCCTGCCTCCGCGGGGGTCTCCAAGTTGCCCTCCTCACCTGTGTCCGCCATCACCTGGGTCGCCTCGGTTTCCTCGCCCTGGCACTGGTTTAGGTCCGGATGTCCTGGGGCATCGTCGGCAGTAGCTACGCCGCAGTCTTTAGCGACAGGAGGGTTGCTGCCCTCATCCAGGGTGCTCATTTTGGTGGAAGTCAGATCCGCAGGAGCAGAGCGTCCCTTGTCCTCTGCAGAAGCCGCGCTCCACCCCAATCCGCTTGTCGCACCACCCCTCTTTTCCACTCTGGAGGATGCTGCTATGGCAACTGGTGACGTCACGGCGGCAGCATCTTCACGTCGCGCGAGAATTCGCTGCACCTAATGATTACGTCAGTCAAGGGTATGCTTTTGTCTTTGTGTTATAAAATGGATGAATTTCGTCTTTCTGGAAAAGATTTGATTTACGTGATTGGGTGCAGACCAAACTCGAACATGTGAGAACTGTGTCAATGTGCATTTCTAAGGCTCTGTATGTATTACTAAGACACCTATGCTATTAATTTTTCTCTTAAAATATTTACTTAAAAGGTAAGAAAGGTTATGGTCCAAGTTCATCAGCTCAGAGGGCCGTTCGTGGATGGTAAGGAGGAGTCAGCAATTCACCTGCGTGCCTTTTTTATGAGACTGAGGGCTACCTACTGCGCTAACGAGGCGCCTGCCTGCCTTTTTTAATGTACAGATTCGTGACTATTATCAAAGAATTGAGATGAGCAGAGTTTGATTTTTAAGAAAAGTGTTGCTCTGTTAAGCGATGGTTTAAAAAATTAGGAGCAATTGTAAGGGAAGTTTCTCTCATCCTAACAAGACATAATGATTATTTCAATTTGTTTGTGTACTTTGGCCAATACCTATGAAGTGATTGGACAATATTTCCTCATCCCTTTTAACTAATATAAATAGCAAATGTATTTTCCTTACTTAGAAGTGACATATGCGTGAGCATGCAAATTTAGCCGTTAAGCATTTCTGAAAAAGATGTGATCTCAGGAGATTTTAATTTCCACAGTTGTACATAATATATGTTGCTTATCCTTAGGCTGTAATCCTAATCTAAAAGGAGTTCCTGCTTTATAATGCATGTGGGCATGAAGCCAGCAAATACTTGCCAAAATATGCCCCTGTTATAATTTACTGCAGGGCAGAAGCAATAATCAACTGTTTGCAGGCACTGAAACTATTACTTGTCCAAATTAAAATATTTTAAGTAACATTTAAAATGTTAAAGTATTTACTTAAAATTTGTCTATTCAAGTCAGCTCATACAATTCATCTGCTAGTGATGTCGATACTGTGCTATGTGTTGTTTTGTTTGTTGGAGTATGAAAACACTGGTGTTAGTCCTTAGAAAAATGCAAGAGTGAAGGAAAACTTAAATTTTGCTTATTTTCGTTTAACATCTTAAATTCATATTAGAAAAATGATTATAATTCTTTTTTTTAATTTTTTTGTAACGTTTATTTATTTTTGAGACAGAGAGACAGAGCGTGAACAGGGGAGGGGCAGAGAGAGAGGGAAACACAGAATCTGAAACAGGCTCCAGGCTCCCAGCTGTCAGCACAGAGCCCGACACGGGGCTCGAACTCACAGACCGTGAGATCATGACCTGAGCCGAAGTCGGACGCTTAACCAACCGAGCCACCCAGGAGCCCCTGATTATAATTCTTTGTAATAGAAACTCCACTACAGATCCTCCAGATTATGATCACTTTGAAATTAGGACTCAGAAGAGGATCCAGTGAAAAGGAAGCATGTGGGGAATTGGATTTAGAAACAAGCAGCAGCAGGTAGGAGACTGGAGGGAAGTAGTGCAGACCCAGTACAGCTAAGAATGAGGTGTTGATGGAAAAGACACTGACATTAAAGGGAAACAGCTTGCCCTGCAGCTTCATAGTTTAGCTCACAAAGGTTTGCAAGAGAATTCGTAAACAATTAAGATATTTTTGTACCCCTAGTCAGCCTACTCAAGGACAGACTGTCCAAATTGCTGCCAACTAATCAGATATCCCACAAAAATTGTGCAAACAAGATTCACTCTTCTCAGACTACAATGATTTTTCTCTCCTTTTTTTTTCCTCTTTTAATAAATCCTATTTTGCCTCTGTGGGGTGAAATCAATTAGTAAGCAATGTGCTATCATTAAGTGACTTTGTGACTTTGAGTCACTCTTTGACACTATTCTGCCTTGTTTCCTTTCTTAAAGAGTCTTTGTACTGTGGGAGGATTAATTCTCTAGGATTATAACCTGAGCCAAGAAGCAGAGAAGAGCAAATGCTGAATCAAAGTTCCTTTGCCATAGAAGAAAGAATTTGCTATTTGCAACAGAAAATTATAAAATTACCTGAGGCTGCTACCTGTAAACTTTTTTCTCTTGTTGTATATACCAAATTTTTAGAAAGATTTTTACCTCCACTACTTGAAACGTCCCTGTCCATAGCTTTGATTGTTCTTGTCATTGCAATCATTTTCCACTAATAATAGCCTGCCCATTCTTTTTTTTTTTTTTTTTTTTTTTTTTTTTAATTGTTTTTTTTTTTTTTTTTTTTTTTTTGGGACAGAGAGAGGCAGCGCATGAACAGGGGAGGGGCAGAGAGACAGGGAGACACAGAATCGGAAACAGGCTCCAGGCTCCGAGCCATCAGCCCAGAGCCTGACGCGGGGCTCGAACTCACGGACCACGAGATCGTGACCTGGCTGAAGTCGGACGCTTAACCGACTGCGCCACCCAGGCGCCCCAGCCTGCCCATTCTTGAAACTCCATTCAAGCCTATCTCAGGAAGATTGCATTAGGCATTTTAACGCATTTAATTTCATAAACAAGGACACAGGAATCACAGAAAGTTAACTCACTCGTGGTAAGACATATATTAATTGGCAAAATGCCTCCTCCTATCTCCTACGCATAACCTTCCCTTATCATTCTGATAGTCCTATAGCTCTATGACCTTTGCCACCCAATTTAGTACTTACCTTCTATCTTTGACTCTCTTGGTTGCTTTACGCAGATCAGTCTCCTCATCCCAGCTGGACAAGGATGGCTGTATAGTGGCTTCATCCTTGGCATCTACAGTGACTGACTATCTCATTGACCATTTTAATAAAATGTGATGATTTGATTTAAATGTAAATTTTAAAAGGTTTTACCAAAATGAATAATATGACTCTGCTAGCATTTCATTTTGAGTTGCGTAGATGTATGTATTATAAATAGGAATCATTTGATTTGCGTATTAGAATATAGGATTTTTTGGTACACAACAGAGCCTGTCCTAATGGCAATTGGCAATAAACCTCACTACAGAGAAAAAGATATATCAGTAACACGACTGTATGAAAAAGCATTTGCAGAAAATGTCGTGAAAAACTAGAAGGTACATTTGCCACAGGACACGGACTTTAACAGAAGTTCAAAAATAAACTAATATAGTCAAACAGGAATGACTTTACTAAAGTATATAGTAAACACTGGAAAACTTAGGAAACATCCACTGTTATTGCTCTTGAACAGCAAGTTTTTTTTCTTTTTTCAGAGTGACATGGTTTCTGGTTATATATTCATTTTGGCCTACATTTATTTAGTGTCTTCTAAATGTGCTATCTCTTTTAATCCTCAGAACAACCCTGTGAGGTAATAATATTATGACCTCCATTTTACATTACCTCAGAAGCAACTCAAGCAAAGAGAAACTGAGTTGCTTATCCAAGGTCATACAGCAGCAATATAGAGCCACAAGCTGAAACCAGGTAATCTGACTCAAGAACCGTGCACTCATTCATTATATCGTCCTGCAGTTCTACACAATGTATAAAATGCAAAGGTACTTTCTTAGAAATAAGACCATATGACCATCTCAATTTAATGTTAAATCGTATCTTCCTATTCCCCTCTGCCCATCCAGAAAAATACTAACAATTGTTGGGGAAGCACCCAGTTACTAAAAGGAGAAACAGGAATTCACGATTCAGTGCCCTACGTCTGCAGTTCTCCATCCATCAAATGTAACATTCCCTTTGTTCATTTGTGTTTTTTTTATTGGTATTGTGTAGACCTAGTCTTACTAGAGGAGGGCAAAAGACATGGGCTGGAGTTCCAGCTCTGCCTTAACGAGCAATGGAAATTTGGGCAAGTGGTTTGACTTTTTAAAATCTCATTTCCACATTTTGCAAATGGGAAAAATAAGGGGCACCTGGCTGGCTCAGCCAGAGGAGCATGCAACTCTTGATCTGGGGGTAGTGAGCTCAAGCCTCACGTTGGTTGTAGAGCCTACTTTGAAAAAAATGGGAATAATAAGATCACCCAACCTATCTTTATTCACTTTTCAGAGTAGTGGGTCAGCACTCTACATAGGTGAACCTTCCTTATAAGTTGCTTTCTTTCCTCCACCCTCACCCCCATCTCCGTGTCTTTTTTTCCTTCTTTTCTTATTTCATGGAAAAATTAAAAATAAAAAAAATAATTATTTCATGGACCATTACAGCCAAAAGATACTTGATTTTCAAACAATTTCCCCTAAATGACCCTTAATGTATGGAAGGAGTTATGTCTCTCTGACTGAATGGGTCACCTCTCCTGGGCTCCAAAGCCCAGAGTTGAGTTGAGCAGCAACAGAGGCATTCTATGGAAATGTTTCTCTTCCTCAGACAGGACGAAGGCATCTTTAGCAGACAGACTCCATGTGTCCAGAGCCAGGTAGACTTGCCAATTCCAACAGAAAGCCGTCCTACTTTTTGGGAAAACAATGGCTGAAGAACAACTAACTTCACATTCAAAGAAGATACCGAGCTAACTGAATTTCTTGCAGGTAAGAGTCAAGGTTGCATTAGGCATTTTAATACATTTAACTTCATAAACAAGGACACAGGAATCACAGAGAGTTAACTCACTCATGGTAAGACATATATTAATTGGCAAATTGCCTCTGGCTTTGGCACCATCTCAGTGTGGAGATTAATGTGGTGGCCATGAAGATGCACCTTACAGCCCTCCAAATACAGGAAGAATAACGTCCAAGGGCCTGAATGCTGTACCCTGAAATCTGTACCCTGCTTTGCTTGCATTCAGGCCATACCTCCTGTGAGCTGCTCCAGCCAAGACTGAGTGTGGCTAGAATACATAAGGTAAAACCATTCCTAAAAACTGCGGGACTCAGCTGACCACTGACCCGGGCTGACTCAAGGACTCCTCAATGGCCTCGTGAATCTTCCCTGGATGGCACAGGAGTCTAGGCCACTTCACCCAACTTTCTCTTGCTCTTCTTTTCATTCAGTCAGACTTGCTTCCTGGTCAAAAGTTTCTTCCATCTTTTTTCTGGGCCCCTCCCCATTTCACTCACAGTCATTTCCCCTAGTAATAACTTTGCACATTTAATCCCAGCTTGACTTCTGCTCTTCAGAGGACCCAGATTAACACATTTAACAGATCATTTAAACGTCTTAGTTTCAATTTTTGTATTTTGCACATTGGGAGTTGGGGGAGAAGGCATCCTTTAGAGAAGAGCTAAAAGGAGAAAGACTTATTCAGTGTCTACCATGTGCTTTATGTTACTTCACATAATTATCACATCAACTTTCATATGACAGGTAGTACTGCTATTTTACAGAAAAGGAAGGGGAAGATGAGAGAAATGATATCACTAGTTTAAGATTACTGCAGCGTCTAGATTTGTACTGAAGCCTATTCTGACTTCAAGGTGTATCTTCTCTACCACTTTCTCTCCTTTTCTAACTGCTTAATTGTGAAGATCAAAAAAGATAACAGATGTGAAAGCACTTTGAAAATGTAAAGATGTGTTACTTCAAAGCCAGAGATTATTATTATTTCTGTTGGTTGCGGTCAAGACCACTATGTCATATGCAAGCCTGGTGCAAAGTACAAATGTGGGGCTCCTTGTTCAAAATTTATTGAGACTTTGAAGATGGCACAGCAGAGCATTACACCAGGTATGGGACCCATGAACCCAGCCATGGGAACAGCAGAATTATTGAGACAGGGGCAATCAAATTGTGCTTGTAGGAAACTTTCTAGAAGAATAGAAAAAACATTCTGGGGTGCCTGGGTGGCTCAGTTGGTTGAGCAGCCAACTTTGGCTCAGCTTCATGATCTCATGGTTCATGAGTTTGAGCCCCGCTTCAGGTTCTGTGCTGACAGCTTGGAGCTTGGAGCCTGCTTCGGATTCTGTGTCTCCCTCTTTGCCCCTCCACCACTCACACCCTGTCTCTATCTCTCAAAAGTGAATAAACTTTAAAAAAAATTAGAAGAAAAACATTACTTATAATGAGTATTTTATAACTCCTGTTTTCTTTCTTGAAATTCACAAATAGTGTACCATCATTTAAATTTATTTTTTTAGTTTAAGTTATCTCTACACCCAACGTGGGACTCAAACTCATGACCCCCTAGATCAACAGTCAGTCACATACCTTCTGACTGGGCCAGCCAGGAACCGCAATTTTTTTTAAATTAATATAACATCTTGGTTGTAATATCAAGGAAAAATAAAAGGGAAATAATTCTTAAAATATCTATTTTAATTTATAAATGGTTGGGCATGCCTGTACTAAATGACATGATGAAGTAGTTAGGTGGCTACACCTATAGAATCACTAGTTCCTTATATATTTTGGAGATTAACCTTTTCAGATATATAGTTTGCAAATATTTTCTCCCATTCTATAGGTTGCCTTTTCACTCTGTTGATTGTGGATAAAATAAAAATTATAAGCATTAGAAAGCTTTGTGTCAGAGTTTAACTGGCAATTGTTTTCATTCTTAGTGTTAGATAACGATGTATCTTACAAGCAGTGTTTAAGAGTAGATGAAGTAAGTTGCTTTCAAAAAATGCAGTGTTTAACACAGTGCAGGGAGGTGAGGGGTGTGCCTGGCTGGCTCAGCTGGTAGAATGTGCAACTCTTGATCTCAGAGCCTTGAGTTCAAGCCCCATGTTGGGGGTAGAGTTTACTTAAAAAAATAATAATAAATAAATAAAAATAAAACAGTGCAAAATGTCTTCATATGTAAAATGGTGCTAGGCTCTAGGCTTAAATAATAATTAATATATTTTTCATCTATATGTTTAACACTGGATAATTACTTTATATGGGGCACTGTTCTCCACACTGCAGGATCTAGCATCCCTAATGTCCCTAATGAATACCAATCACACCTACATCCATTGTAATAATCAAAATAGCTGGCAAATTTCCCAGACACCATAGGGGGAAGTACACATATACATTGATAATCAGTTTTTTAAATGCCTGTGAATATGACATGGTATTCTCATTCCTGGTCACTAGAGGGAGAAAGTGGTCTTTAAAATGATAATCTGACTAGTTTGTCAGCCTTTTAGGTTAAAGTTAAAACTGCTCTGGAAAAAAAAAATTAAACTGCTCTGAAGAGAATATTTATGATAATTTTACATACCATACATTCATAAAACAACTGTGGCATGAATTTTCAATGTATGTTTTATGCTGTGTATACTATTAGAATTGAATCATAATCTTTATTATACTTAAGCTATCACTGTTACAAAATTAAAATTTTCTCAGACAAGCTTATTTAGTTATGATGCCTCCCATGATAATATATAGCCAAAAACAAGATTAGATAGCGTTGCTTTCCTCAATCATTAGAGAAGTGAGAGACAAAGTCTGTGACCTGAATGACCTCATACCTTTGTGTGCTGAGTGTGATAGGTAATTTTATGTGTCGATTTGACTGGGCCAGGGGGTGCCCAGACTAAATATTATTTCTGAATGTGTCTGTGAGGGTGTTTCTGGAATTAGCATTTGAATTGGCGGACTCAAGAAAGTAGATTGCCCTTCCCAACATGAGTAGACATCATCCAGTCCGTTGAAGGCCTAGATAGAACAAAAAGGTAGAGGAAAGGAGGAATTTGCCTCTTTTGCTTCCTCCCTGAGTACTTGAGCTAGGACATGAGTCTTCTACTGCCTTTGACTGGTCTTTACACCATCAGCTCACTTGGTTCTTAGGCCTTAGGACTCAGACTGGAATTATACTACATCACTCAGCTTTCCTGGGTTTCCAGCTTGCATGTGGCAGATTGTGACACTGCTCGGTAGACCTCCCTAATCACATGAGCCATTTCCTCATATAAATCTCTTCCTATTGACCCTATTTCTGTAGAGAACCTGCCTAGTATACTGGGTAAAGAGCATACATTGGAAGCGGACAGTTCTGGCTTCATGTCTCAGTTGTGCCACATACAGGCAGTTCAATTTGAGCAGGTCACTGGACTTCTCTGAGCCATAAACTCCTCAAATATGGAATGAATATAATAAAACTTAAGTTACAGAACTGTTAGGAAGATGAAATATTTGCAAAGGGTTCATCCCAATGGCTTTCAGTAAGTAAAAGCTGACTTGATAATTTTTATTATTTTTATGCTAAGATTTACCTACATGAAATAGAGTATAGTGCAGACAAAATAAAATCAATGTCAAATTCTGCTATAAAACTGTAAGTGTATAGAAGTTCAAAGATGAAAGACATCCATAAATAATGGAGCAGTAAGTGAAAAAAAGAGTTGAATTGGACCATGTAGGATACAATTTGAATAACATGAGAAAGATATAAAACACTGGGACATAGTAATAATACTTGTCCACTATGTTCCAGTTACTTTTTTTAAAAGATTTTATTTTTGAGTAATCTGTACACCCACTGTGGGGCTCGAACTCACAACCCTGAGATCAAGAATCACATGCTCTTCTGACTCAGCCAGCCAGGTGCCTTTGTTCCAGTTACTTCTAAATGATTTTAGATATATGGTATTTCCAGTTCATAGGAAAAAAATGTTTTGCTGGCACTAAAATAAAATGCTTCACCATATTTTTTTCACATAATATTATTTTAAAGACTTTATAAAATAATTTTTAAAAATTAGTTACATGAAATCTATGCTTTTAATAGCTAATTGGAGAGGATTCATCAAAATTGACCTCAGAGTAAACTTGAAGAAGTTTGACCATTACTTAAAATGATTGATTACAACAGCACCTAGACTACCATGTACTAGACTCATCTCAACACAACTCCTTATTGTACTAAGAGAAGTTAGAGCTTGGTTAAGAGGATAACAATTAAGTATGAAGTGCTGTTATAAGTAATCACCCAATTGACTCAAACCTCAATAAATACACATTCTTTGCATTTCATAGTGATAATGACAGTTCTGTCTATATATCAGCAAATTCCAGAAGGATATTAAAACATTTGAACTACTTTGGCTAACTCTGTTCTTCTGAAGGAAAGTAAAACCAAGCAGTTTAATTCAGACAGTAAGTATCAAGAATTGTATTTTTAAATACAGGAAACAGTTATAATCTGATGGAGCTTAGAAAACCTGTATTATTTAACATATGCAAAGATAAATGAACAGATATATAAAGGTAAATAAATACATCCCTTTTGAAAGCCATTCATGAATAGATTGGGAATATTAAAGCTAACCTATGTATACTTAATTAGGATTTAAATGTCTTTATGCTAAAATTACAGGTTGCTGCAATATGGTGAGATGTGCCCTAGCTTGAAATAAGGAACCCTAACTGAATACAACCTGTGTTACTTATATCTAAATTAATACACTTCAATTTGCTAAGCTTCTATTTCCCTATCATATGGGGATAGTGATACAAAAACTGTAGGATTACACATGTAAAATGAGAGCATACATGGAAATTTCTGATATTTCTTTTTTTATTTTATTTTTTTTTTAATTTTTTTTTTCAACGTTTATTTATTTTGGGGACAGAGAGAGACAGAGCATGAACGGGGGAGGGGCAGAGAGAGAGGGAGACACAGAATCGGAAACAGGCTCCAGGCTCTGAGCCATCAGCCCAGAGCCTGACGCGGGGCTCGAACTCATGGACCGTGAGATCGTGACCTGGCTGAAGTCGGACGCTTAACCGACTGTGCCACCCAGGCGCCCCGGAAATTTCTGATATTTCTAACAATCTGCTGAGAAGACTTTGAAGACGGAGGTGTGTACTTGGAGCAGAATTAGATACCTGAGGCTCAAATTGTAACTCCATGGGGTAGAGAACTCAAATGTCATTAAGAATATAGGTAAATATCTTGTTTTGTTTTTAAACTTTTTTAATGTTTGTTTATTTTTTGAAAGCGAGAGAGAGTGTGTGAGAGGGAGAGGGCAGAGAGAGAAGGAGAGACAGAATTTGAAGCAGGCTCCAGGCTCTGAATTGGCAGCACAGAGTCCAACACGGGGCTCAAACTCAAACTGCGAGACCATGACCTGAGCCAGAGTCAGTCGTGGAACCAACTGAACCACCCAGGCGCCCCTTGTTTTGTTTTTCTAATGAGAACTGAATTCAGGAAACTAAGAGATAAAGCAAGAACAGCAATGGGGTTTAGGGCAATGATTCCCAAACATTAGTATGCATCAGAATTACCTGGATTGCTAGTTAAACTACAGTTGCTAGACTCTACTTCCAGAGTTTGAGTCTATAGAGAAGAAGTGGGGTTCTTGCATTTGCATTTCTAACAAGATTCAGGTGAGTCTCACGCTGCTTTTTTGGGGGCCACCCTTCACAATCTACTGTGTTAGGGTAATAGAGACTGGTAAGTTGAAGCTGGAGTCAGAGAGAAGGGTCCAAGTAAAGAAGGTCAGAGAATCATCTTGTAGACATCTAAATTTGCAGAAATGAAAAGGGAAACACGGAGATTATTATTGAATAAGTATGTGAGTACTACTTACAGGTCAATATGAGCAGATTCAACTTCTTCAGTGACCAGAGGATGACAACCTCTTAGTTTGTATGTTAAGGAAATCTCTAGAGAGATCAACTTTTGCCCAGAATTGAAGGTGAAAGGTAACCAAAAAAAAAAAAAAAAGTAATCCTAAAATTGGGATTAGAAATGAAATTATACAGCAATAAGAACTTGCAAACAAGGTCATACAAGTAGAGTCAACAACTTGTATTTAAGCACTGAAGAAAAGTAAAAATAGCAGAAATGGGCAAATAGAATTCCATTTTTTGAATTGATGACAATAATTTTAAGTCTGTTATTTAATGAGGTTATAACTTACACTAAAATGGATGGATCTTGATTGTACAATTTGACAAGT